AGTACTTTAAATAGTATAAATAAGTTACCCGGGCAATTGATTTGCATCAGCCAATCAGACGAATGTCTGTCTATGAGATTAGCCCAACTAGACGGAATATCTCGGAACTAAACTAGTTTATCATCAACTAGTTCGATCACTAAAAAATTGTTGAACCAGACTAGGCCGGTTCAGGCCTGCGGAACACTAGTTATGGGTTGAAATTCATCGGATCCGGGCCAGTATTTATAAATTACGATCGAGATATTTTTAACAGCCAATCAAAATACATTTTTGCTATGCTAATCGATTAACAGTTAGTGATCGATACTTAACAGTCTGCGAAATTTCGTGATGATTAGTACTACAAAATTCAGAAATGACCGCACATCCAAGTCGCCATCACGCCGTAATTATAATAGGAAGGAAAGTTTAAGAACTCGCGATTTGGATAAGAAAAGCCCGGTTAGATCACCGGTCAGTCGAAATAATGGAAGAGAATGGTCACGATCTCGTATTTCACCACCACAATATGATAAAAGATCAAAATCACCAAGACGAATACGTTCTCAAACAATATCTCGAGATAGAAAAGTTTCTCGACTTAGTTTATTCCCTTCACGAAAGGACCGTAAGTCTGGATCTTCAGATCGTGTGAATAACAGAAGAGAACTTTCAAAGTCTCGAGAAAAATCGCGTCGTAGTCCTTCTCCCCATCACAGTTCTCATAGGTCTTCGGCTCGCGGACAGGCTGACTCTTATCGTCCAAATTACCAAAGTCAAAGATCTAGGTATGATTCATATCGTCCAAAAAAAGGTACGAATTTGTTTGCTATTTTGAAAGTAATAAACAAATTAGACGCGCAATTCTATTATTGAATGATTCTAAACATAAGAAACCAAATTTCTTACCGTTATTACTTAATAGCTATAAAATCATCAGATCGGCAGAATTCAAAAGCTGAATCTCGATCGTCTGCATTGGTTCGTCCTGAAACTTCTAGTACTGCTAATTTTTCACCAATTCGTGAGAATGCGATATTAGAACGTCCACGACCTTATAAACCAATATATGATGCCATAGCAGAACTTAAAGAACGTAAAGATGCATTCTATTTTGAATATGATGATTATTTGAATGGCAATTCAAGATTCAAGACCCCATCTCTTAATATTACTAACGCTCGCCAAGACATGATTGATCACATAATTCAATCTTGTTTACGTTTGCAATTACCTATGAATTGTATGGCTGCGACGTTAATATTCTACCAAAGGTTTCACGCAAAATTAGAACGAGATAAAAAAGCTTTTCCAGAATTATACGCACATCAGGTTGAGCATGATAATGATCTTATGATAGCTGCCTGTATGCTTTTTGCTGGAAAGGTTACAAATTGTAGGATTGGTGTGACAAATGCGATTAAAGGAAGTTGGAGGTAAGCTTTTATACAGGGTTCAGAATAATATCGATTGTTGATATTGATTATATAACAACATTACAGGCCGAGACCGAGTGAAACGAGATGTCCAAACGAAGAAAGTCCGGCATTTCTTGATCGAAAAGCATCGGTTATCCATTATGAAAATTGCTTGATGACGGCAGTTGGTCTTGACCTTGCAAAAGACACTCCTTACGCGGTGGTAAATAAGATAATTTCTCCGATATTTGAGAAATCTGGGGGGACGTGCACATTGGATGCTGTTTGGAAAAAGTTTACTAGACAAACCTACGAGCAAATTTTAGAGTCTCTACGTCGTACAATAATTGCTGTCACATATAGTGCAAGTGAAATTGCGACAGCAGCGGCAGCTATTGCATCATTTCAAGTTGGAATACCTCTACCAGGAGGATTATTCAAGGTAATTATTTCATTTTTATATTTATTATTTAATAGAATCGTTTATTTAACTTCAAATTTTAATTTAAATATCAATAGTTTTGCATTGAGTGTGGAGTAGCTAGTCCTTTAAAAGTTAAAGGTAAAAGTATTGCATTTTATAGCATCCTATATACATGCGTTTATATCCAATTATCCAGGATATTATTGCATATTCTCGATTAG